GTCCGGCCGGCGGGCCGGCCCGCCGTCCTACCCCCCTACCCCCCCCACCCCCGACCCACCCCCAACCCCGACCCCCCGCCGACCCCCCCGCCCGCCCGACATGCATTGCCTCCTTTTCCAGAGGCTGGCTTTGAAGTCTCATCCTGCTTGGTCAAGCAACCAGGGGTTGAGCTGCTGATCTTCAGGATCCCCTTGCTCGCGAAGGTCTCACTCAGTCTCACAGTCTCAATTACAACAAAGCATGATTAGGAAGATTCCATGAACCCAGGAATTGACAATCTGCACCAGGCTGTGTTTTATGCCAGATGACCCATTGCAGATCAGAAACGAACAGTCAAACTACAAGATTGTTAACGTGGTGAACCTGGTTGAGCTGTGTCTTGAATCAAACTGATCACAGAGTGATGCTGGCACTCACCCCAAACATCGTCGACAAGCTGCAGGAATGGGAAAGCAGAAAGGGTCAGAAGAGCCAGCCAGACGAAGCAGGAGCCTTAACCTCTTGTTGTCTGACCACTACAAATGGGATACAATATCAGCTTGCATAACTTGCTGAAACCAAGACAGTTCTCCCCAGCTCTCAAAGCTTTCACCTAAACAATTGTTGCAAAACTTGAGCATTCAAGGCAGTGCAGGCAGATGCGACCTCAAGTGAAGAGCATGTGAATTGCACTTGCCAGATGGGTTCAAGGCAAGCCAAAGGCATCAAAGACGAAGAGGCAGACTCACAAGAAGGCGATGCCATTCACAATTGCCCAGAAGAAATCCAGGATGGCCCCCAGCCTCCAGGGGGGGCGGTCCACCACCTGCAAAATCTCAACTTTGATTTAGGGTTGAAATTAGAAACAAACGATGCCGAACAGGTTTCACAACAAATGAGAAGTTGCACTTTAGAATCACAAGAATTCACAAGAAGCCTTTTGCCTGAGGCCTAAAGGCAAGAAGATATTGAGGGGCACTTACCTGACCATCCTTTATGTACGCCATAAGGGCGGCCTTGGCCTCATGAGCTGCTCTCAAAGAACAACTTGGTCCCAAGTCCTTGACTAGGTACCGTAGAGCGCCCAAAACCGGATCAAGTACCATAATAGTGGATCACCTCCGCCCTAAACTGGACCTATCTTGATCCAGTCTCGTATTTCCAACTGTCTAAAACTGGATCAGCTCTTTTGTGCGTAAAACCGAGGTTTTTGACTCCGAAGCATGACCTAAAGTTGGTCAAATCTGGATCCAAGAGCATCGGCAGATAGCCCTTAGAAAATTTGGATATGTGGAGAAAACCGCACTTCAAAAAAATAATTTCGTCAAAAAATATTGCAAATAAGCGGTGCACAAAATAAGGTGATCCAGTAATGGGCGCTCTACGGTATTATATGTCAATGAGGGCTTCACAAATTACTCAGTCTGCATCACCACGCATGCAGATCTTCTTTATTTCTTCATTTCCTTGGATCTAGACCGGTCATTACATCGGCGTATGCTTCTCTGCAAGGAGCTTTTGAACACCGTTTTAACTCGCTCATTTGGTTACCTTTTCCAACAGCAAACAGACGGACCATCTAAATTGAGTAGGTACCTTGAGAAAGTAAAATCCACACGATCAGGGCAAAAGGAGGCCAAAATACGGCCTGATTTCCCGCTCCTAATATTCTACAAGAGCAAGACGCTATAGCCTTAGGATCGAAAAACTTCCTCCAATCATGCAGTGCCTTTGCTCCCCTTCTGTTTGGAATCCGTTCAGGGTAATTCAGGGTGATCAAGAGAGCAAGCCATTCTCCAGCATTGGCGACAAACCTACCCAGTGCCTCTCCCCTCCTCCCTTCTGTGCGTTACAGGAGGCTTTAGCCTATGAGGGCGGTGAGGCTGCTGCGATCTTGTTTTATGCATAGGAAACAAGCTCAGAGTCGTTCTTAGGCACGGTGGAGTGGCCTGGGCAGTCTGGGCCTTGTGGTCCGCCCTGTGCTGGGCGAATGTCCTGGGCAATGTAAAGCAGGTTACTGTTCAGGAGCTGGAAGGGCCATCTGTGATAGAGTTTCAGGGGCTTGCCGTTTTAGTAGATGGGTCCCGCAAAGACACAGAGACGCAGCCAGTCTAGCATGTTCTGAGCTGCAGAACGTGCAATTGGACTCAAGAGGTGCACAAACGCAAATTTTGACAGGGGAGCGGATTTCTGCTTTGCGAAGTTGTTGTGATAGTGGCGACAAACTCTGGGATCACATACACAAGCAAAATGAGTAGCTCTGGCCTGCAGCCGGTGAGTTTCTTCTCTTACTCGTCTAATTTGCTGACAGACGGCATTGCTGGACCTGAAGTAGTATTTTGAATGGATCAAATCCCGAGGCTATTGCAGACTGTACAAATTTTGCAGTTTGATTTTGCAGGGCCCTCAAATCAGAATGCAGAATTTCTAAAAGAATCAGGCCTGAAGTCTGATGATTGTGGTACTAATATGAGAAGCCTGGAACATTCTTACACAAATCACAAAGAAAAAACAGTCAAGTGTTTACTTAAAAAAGCAAGTCAGTTGTCGCACGCAATGTTTCTGCCACTTCGCAAGTATGTGCTGTCTTCTTGTCAGGCTAGACAAAAACGCTCACTCAGATCTTTTCTGATTGCAGCTTCAGAATGCCTTCAGTGGCTTCACAAGATTGTCCAAGGGGATCGCGGTGCTTCTTGCAGTTGGGTTTCTGGTTGTGACGGTGCTTCCATGGGCGTTGGAGTATGTGGCCTTGGTGCCCGGCAAGTGCGTACCTTCGTAGTTTCCCTCACCTTGTCGTACTCTTGAGCAGATGTGCATGTTTTCTCTATTCGAATCGACATTGCGGAGGTTCTTCTTCAGTCTGTTTGAAGATGACACTGCGTGCATCGCAAGCTGTTCATTAGAATGCTAGTCGCCTTTGTGCAGGTGCGCAACGATCAATCTTTCTTTAAGTGGTTAAAAGTATGTGTCCCTTTCTTGTGCAGGTCCATCCCTATGGCATGGAATCTTCTGACAGCTGGCTACATAGAAAAGTCGCTTCTCAGCGTGAGTAAATTCCACCCATTCCGTACCTAGTAAGATGTCGACAAGACGACACTTGGCAAAGGTTTGTCTGCGCTTCACCTCTCATCTGGACACCGTAGATTGTCTCCATGCTCTGCTCTAGCTGGTCAAAACTGATTGAAGTTTCTTGCCACCACTTTGGGCTTCTGATACCAAGATTGGACTTAACAGCCTTCTTGCGTACAGCAGAACTGAATTGAATCTTCTCCTACTTGCAGGCAATTGTCAATGTTCTGGCCGTTCTTTTCATCGGGAAGACCTTGGAGCCAATCTGGGGTTCCAAGGAGTTCCTGAAGTTCATCGTCTTGGTTAACCTCTTCACAGGGGCTAGCACCTTTGCCACAATGATCTTCTTGTACTTTTGCACAATGAACGAGGACTTCTTGTGAGTGGTTCACCCCTTGCCTTACCTCGCAACGTGCTTTATGGGTCACTATTATCAACATGCAGTTGCTTGTCAATCTTATGGCGGATCGTATCCCACTAATCAGAGGTTGTGATTTTTGCTTCGGATACATGTAAAGATTGCCTGACGTGGGCGTCACCTCGTTCTTGTCCGCTGCTTCGTAAGCCGCTTGACTGGGCCCAGATTACTTTAGAGAAACACTCGAATCTATTCCTTCCTCCAGGTATCCAAAAATCTCGGGCTTTCATGGGGTGGTGGCCGGTTTCCTTGTGGCCATCAAGCAGCTGATGCCAGACCAGGAGATCACAGCCTTCTTTGTCTTCAAGTTCAGGGCCAAGGTACGTGCTGATAGACTGGAGAACCAGCGGTGCTCGGTATGCCTCTGGTGGACCACCACGCGATTCGTCAGGCAACAGCATTGGATATGCGATCGTTCCCTGTTTAGGGCTCGCCCAGTGTCAAGCTCCACATTCAATTGCTTCGAAGTTGATAGCTGAAAGTTGTTCTTGGCTGACTAGCGATTCAACTTCGTTCGTTGACTCCTGTCTGCAGCACGTTCCGTCTCTGTTCGTGCTGGTCAGCGTCGTTTTGTCCCTCCTTGCTGGGGACGCCGTTCAGCTCCTTCCCTTCATCCTGTTTGGCACCTATGGCAGCTGGCTCTACCTGCGCTTCTTCCAAACCCGGTCGGAGAGTAACTTGAGGGGGGACCCAAGCGACGAGTTCGGCTTCGACACTTTCTTCCCGGAAGTTGTTCGGTGCGGATATCTTCCCTGATAACAAACCGAGAGTATTGCAGCATCTCCCTTCTGGGAACTGAAGTTCCACGTATCTGCTTATGTTGCACTGCGGAACGAGCAGTTTAGTCTACATAGCATTTTCCTCCGCCTTGGTACTGCATGGATCCTCGTCTTTTGCAAAAATAATAGATTATCAACCTCGGCAGAAAACGGTACTTGGATGGTTGTTCCCTCCAAAATAAAGTGTCAATTTGCGTCGGATTAGCTCGTAGGCGCCAACGTTTTGGAAGCGTATGATCCCGAATGTCGCTTGAGCTGAAAAAACATGCGGTTGCAAGTGCCATGACGAAACGAAAGTTGGTACTCTTTTTCGCTTCCAGCCCTGCGATCCGGCCAGTAACGACAATCCTGAGCAAGATCTTTTGTGGGAGACGGTCCGCAGAGGGTGAAGAGGGAACGGGCCACATCTTAGGGGGCAAGCCTTTACCGGGCTCCGATCCTGCCGAAGCGACACGGCGAAGGTACAGGCCTGATGTTTTGCTCTCTAGACCATGGTTGCCACGGCTGAAGGAGAACGCTTTTCATTACGCCTGACTAGACATCAGCGGCTGGCGACCTCTAGAGTATTTGAGCGGGCTTTTTGAATTCTTTGTCACTGTCAGCAGAGTTTGTTGGTCTCCGCTCTAGCAGAGTCAACTCTGACGAACGGTGCAAGGTGAGTCGCTTAGACCTTCTCCCATTGCCGTGTAGGTGGAGTGGCATGTATCCGTGAACCTGCTTGCCACGTTCCTTCAGCACCTTAATTGAAGGCCGTCAAGGTGCCCGTGGTTCTCTATGAGCAAGCCTGCAGAGGTTTGGCGCCAGGATACATTTGAATGCGCCGAAGAGTACAAATCCTGCATTGATCAGAGGTTGCGGTTCGTGCTCCCTGTCTGAAGTCCTTACTTTGAGTTACTTTCTGGTTCTTAATTCAAGTTGCAAGAAAGCCATCGGGGCCACCCCTGGTTGTTGGTTGTGGCAGGAGCGGTCTCGATGAACGGCTGTGGCCTCATCTCAAGGGCTCAGAACAGCAGTGAGAAACTCATTGACAAGAGGCAAATGGGTGCTGCTTTCTTGTAGGGAGCGAGGAGCCCGTGCTTTGGAAGAGAGGTTGGCTGCGGCTGCCCAAAACGCAACAGGGGCGGCGGACGGTGGGGCGTCAAGTCTCCCAGTTTCTAGCAAGCCGCCTGGGATGGGCAAGGAAAAGGCACCCGCTGACGAAAGCGTCTGACACATCGAGTTAGTGAAGTTTAGCAGACAACTTGTTGCTCTTACAGCCTGGTGTAGATAGTTTTGGAAGGTTCTTGTAAGCAGTCTGGTCTGATCGATGTGTGCAAACATGCTCTCCCCTGCGACTCAGGATCATAACATCAAGCTCAACGATGTCAAGTCTGCGCAGCGGATCACCGCTTGTGACAGGTTGGGTGCAAGCAGGATCCACTTTCAAGAAAGCTTCAAGAACGTCGAATCATACAAGGTGCAAGGTGACACTCCGCTCGTCCTTTGCTGTACATATTGCAAGGGTTTGAGACACTGCAGTGTGTCTCAGCATCTCGGCGAAGCAGTCACTTGAGACCTCATTGTATGCAATTGTTGAGGCCGTGTAGTATAAGCCATTTCAAGAGCTGCCGAAAGTCTTCTGCTTCTTCTAAATGGGGTATGTCCCTGATACATGATGGTAAGCAAGCTGCTTGGGTCACGTCATCTTAATTGACTGCTTTCCATGACTGCCATGATGAATAGTACATGTAAGCAAGCTGCACGGTCATCAAACCATGATAAATGGAACATCATATATGGTGTACATGACGAGATGCTGCATCCTGCGCGGACAGAGTCCATGTCTCCATGTGCAGATTGTCGTCTGCGCAATGACTGCCACCGCTCGAATAATGGAAGCAGCTCGTGTGCGCGCGTACGCGCGTACAGTGGGCATGCGTTCCAAGTTCTGTTGCAACAGGATTGATTCTGCATTTACTTTTGCATAATGCACCGGTTCAGTGACATCATGATTCACGGGGACAATTCTACAGCGCAATGGCGGCCTCAACTTTCAAGCAAGCTTGCCCAAGGCCAATTCCAATTCTGCCACAAATCCGCAGCATTGGTTGTCTCTCCCCCGTGAGTACGCTGTGGGTAGGTTCCTCCACTCAGCTGCAACCTTGATTCCGGTGACCAAGACGGCTTGTTCTTATGTGCTCGGATTGCACCATATACAGCCACCCCAGCACCTTCAGAACCCCATCCAGATTACTTTGAGCAAGAAAACCTGGGTTTTCGGCCTCCAATTGACTGACGCCCCACTTCCCTGAAAGCTGAGGAGAATGCTGGGTTTTTCTCGGCATGATGTGAAGGTGGCAGCATTGGCAATTGTGATGATGCTGGTCATGCCCGGTAAGCAGACTCAGCTGACGGGCCAACCTTTTCTGTCAAGGCCACAACGTCATTCGTGTCTGAGTCATCAAAAACTTGCCATGCCTGAGAAGCAGTGGATTCTTCCAAATTGAAAGGGTGATGTTGCTTTTGTCAAAGCCTTGCATCAGGTCATTCGTGTCTGAGTCATCACAAACTTGCCATGCCTGAGAAGCATTGGATTCTTCCAAATCGAAAGGGTGATGTTGCTTTTGTCAAAGCCTTGCATCAGGCATCGGAATGGCTTGCAGCAGGTGCCAGGGCAGTATGGCAATGCAAAGGCTATTTCTTGAAACGATGAGCTCCAGTTGGTCAATTCAGTTGCCCAGCATACTCCTTTCCAATGTGACGTCACTGTGGTCAGACTGTATCCTTACGAGGAGCTTCCATACACTTGGAACCATGATGCTGAGTCAACCTGCTTTTCTTTTGAAAGTCGGTGCCTGCATCTCCCTGTTCATTGTTCACTTGCAACATTGTCCTTCCACTGGCTCCTTTCTGGAGCACTTACATTCCACCTGCCATGACAATAGCTTGCTTGTTGCGCTTACATTTTGTTGCAGATTGGGTATCATAACTGCCTAGGCATCCCTGAGCAGCTCCACAGCTTGGACGGCATTGCCTGGCATATGGCCTAACATGAATCCAGCCTAGCTGTCTGTCCCTGCAAGATGATCATGATTTTGAAGTGGCGCGGTAAAGATTACCCATGCAGGCCCCTCCCTGTTCTCCCTCTAGGTCTGCAGCCCACCCCGCGGGTTCCCGACACATCCTACAGGGCCAACCCCAGCACACTACAGCAGCATGTGGAGTACTTTGACAGGAACCGTGACGGGGTCATCAGCCTGCCTGAGACTTTTGAAAGTAAGCTGCACGGGCACGCAGATCTATCCAAACTTGACCCTTTCAATCTGTTTGAATTGGAAAATTTCAACACATTCAAGAAGCCTAATGTTCAGAATGGCCGCTTCTGCCCAAGCAGACATGACCGGGCATCTAGCTTCCTCCATTCGTAGCAATGCTATTCCACACCCGCGCACAAGCACACGTGAACAACAATCTAAAGCCATTCATTAACCTTGCTTGATTTCTTGTGAGGATTGGATTTGAAGCCCTAGTCCTTGTGGCTAGAGCCTCAGACACATGATGGCAAAGCGGGGCAATTGCAGATCTACCGGATCTCTTTTCTGTTTTCGTAAGAATCAAAGAAGCCCAGGTTTGGGCCGCGACACTCCTCCAGAGAAAAATCCTGTGATGCCAGTCAATCAACTGACTGGCCGACACGCAATTGTGCAGGCCTCAACCGGTTGGGTTTTAACTGGTGGGGCAACTTTTACCGAGCCCCATTCATCAATTGGGGCCTGACGATGGGGCTATATGTCAAAGGGTTCCCTCCTCTTAGCTTGGTACGTCATTGCTTTGCTATCCAGGCTTACAATTTTGCACAAAGTCCAAAAGGCTCTTGCAAAAGAACCCTCGTCATAGTCAGCTCCCATCGTTGATGCAGCAAAGGGTTTCGCGTAGATTCAATTCACACGAGGGTAACCAGATTTGCTGCCTCCATGCGTTCTGCCATTCTTAATGAGAACTGACGAGTGCTTGCGTTGCTAGCAGCCCTCAACGGCGTGTTTCTACATACAACTTTGGTATCCTTGAAGATCATGCATGAGCAGCTAAGATCCGCTCTGAAGTATCTGACTGGGTTGGTTTCTTTGGTCCAAGGCTTCAACCCTCTAGCCAGAGGTAAATGCAAATTACTGACTTGTGCTTGAAGTACAGCGAAGTCCTCAAGCGAACGTCCCTCCTCAAGAGAACCCTTTCAATCCCAAGAGCCTACGCATCAAGTTATGCGGAAATGCTGATTCTGCGCTTGCTCAAGAAGCTATTGAACATAGGACATAGAGCTTCTTGATGCTCCAGCCAACACACAGGGCTTCTCCCGGCAGCCACAGCTCGCAACATGCCTGACAAAAGCACCGTTCTTGATTCTGCAGTCGTCGCTCATCTCTCCGGCCTTCTGGAACCACCTTCTGTCGTTCGACTTCCAGTTGCGGGTCCCCATCCAGACCATCCACCAGACGATCCACCCCAGCGACTCGGGCGTGTACGACAAGAACGGGCAGTGAGCGTCTCGCCTCGTCTGCATTTATACCCTCACCGCACCTTCTCGCCCAGACGCAGTTCTTGATGGGACCGATCTCTTAAGGCTCAGGAATGTATTTCGTCCTTCGCAAGTGCTTTTGCAGTCAGGAGAATCCAAAGACTTAAAGCCGCAGCTGTTTAGTTTTATCCGCTCTTTTGCAACTTCGCGTTTCTCCATGTAGGGTTAAGCACCAGTCCTCGTGCTTCCTGGAACAGAGGACACCTCACCGTCGCTCATAACCGAAACTCTGCCTTGCTCTGACTTTTTCCTTGGTTCAATACCTTCTTAGGTTCAATGAAGCGAAGTTCGAGCGGCTGATGTCGTTCGACAAGGCCGGCAAAGGCGGCATCAATCGGTGCGAAATGACCCGCTTCATCAAGGCAAACAACAACCCTCCAGACGTACCCGGCAAGTGAGTGACTGTGCGGACTATGCAGCCCTCGGCTTTCGGCCTAGGATGTACGTTTGAAGAGCACAGTCACCATATGCTCACTGATGCCGCCCTTTTTGATGGAGCGATGCTAAGTCACTCCGTTTTCTGGGCAGCTTTGGGTATTCAGCGCGAAGACTATCATTGTTCCTTCGATCGTCTCATTGAAGCGGTAGTGTACTCTGCGGTGTTGCATTTCCGAAACGGGTGTGACGCCATCTGAAGTGTATGCACTCCGCTCACCCAGGATCAAGCTCTGTGTGCAGTATCGGTTCCAAATTCGAGTGGTTCAATGTGTTCGAGATCCTGCACGACGACAAAGGCGTCATGAGCAGGGAGAAACTCCTCAAGATGTACAACGGGTCCGTGTTTGAGGAGATCGAGCGCGCGGTCGCTGCTAAGAAGGGCATCCAGACCGTGAGGACCTCCGCAATGAAGAACGATGCTTAGAGGCTGGCATTTCTGTGGTCGTACAACCATAACTTATGAGGGGTTGCCGGCCGTCCATCCTGTATGCAGCATTCATCTCTCTTGAATCTAGAGCCGAGGCAAACTGGTTTTTCATGGGCCTCAATGTTACGAACTACATAGTATGTTCGCTAAAACAATCTGCACGATTATTAAGTAGATGACACTCCTGAAGAATGTTTATGCTGATTGGATATCGTGAAGACTGACCTTAGGTCTGCAGATTACTTTGTACTAGCTCAAACTGGAAAGGTTGAACTGTATACTGTAGTTGGCCGGTTTAAGCTCCTTAAGCCTGCGTGCACCACATTGTAGCCACAAAAAATCTAACCAGCAGCAGCCAATGAACCACGTGGTTCAAACTTGCCATCTTCATGTTTAAGATATACCTAGGTAGTACATACACACGTCCATTAGTCGGAATTATTGCATGGCCGGATGAAACACATTGATAACTGTAAGTACGTCATGCACTACTTCAAGTTGCTGTGTCAGGCCGTCCTCCTTCATACAAGCTCATTGTCCCTGCTTACATACACAGGGATCTATCAATCTGTGGATCTTATCTGATATCTTGTGACTCAGTTTCGAAGAACTCATCATGATCCACAATCACAACGATGTAAAATGTAGTGACAACAATTGATTTGCTGGACCTCAGCCTGTCTCTGTATGTTACCACTTTTCTAGACTACTCCTTTGGACTACTGAATCTCCTTGCACTAAAACCTACATGGAGTTGGAGTTGTTCCTAAGCTCGGTCTGTTGAAACATCATACAATATCTGTGTATCTTTACACAAGTGTTTGATCCTGTTCTTTACCTGTATGGGTGCGTGCTCTCAAGATTAAGTTACATTATCAATGCCAGGGCTTCGCATGCTCTTCACTGCAACATCAGTGCCAATGGCTGTCATATTGTCACCTTCGATCCTGCAAGATCACACTGAACTTCAGTCGAACGTTTTTTGCTGATGCAGTGTTTAGTGATGAACTGGCAGAGTACTGCTGTTTTCTAAGAAGGGCCCTGACGACCAAGCAATCAAAAGTCAGCCCAGTCCATGCGCTATCATGTGATCTCCTACTCAAAGATGCAATTGGCAAGCTGTCAGACCGCTTCTCAAATTCAAGTGCATACGAATGTTTCAGCAGATCCCAGCCACTGAGCTGGCCAGAAGAAGGGCTTGCATTCAAAAACTCAGGATGAAAGCGATACCTGCGAGTGAATGCATGGTGCTCTTCAATAGCTCTTTACAGGGCTGACAATTGGCAGGCCTGGAGGAAAGTTGCCATGAAAAGATAAGCTTAAAGAGTTGCCCTTTGTGGCTAGGACAACGACTAGAAAAACTCACGTGCGATGTTACAGTGATTGTATGAGTGCTTGTTTCATTGGAAGTCAGCCGCTGTCACCTCCTCTGGTGCTGCCGTCACTTCCGGGTCTAGCGAGTGCGTGACCTCCTGATCTGAGGGCGCGTGCGCTGCTGCTGCTGCTGCCGTCTGTGACTGCTTCTCAAAGAACTTGTGCATCTCTCGCTGCTCTTGGGCTAGCTCTTCCTTCTCCTGAGAACCCTGACCAAGCGGATGCGTCACAGCCTGGTCGGACGGGGCCTTGGCTGCAGCCTGTGCTGCGCTGTCTTCCTGTTGCTCGAGGAATGCATGCAGAGCCGCTTGCTGGGCAGCCCCCTCTTGTGCGCTCGCCATGACGGATCACTGCCTGTGCCGCTCTCAAAGAAAAAGGAGCGAAATTTTCCCTGCGCAGGGAATCTGCGCCTGCAAATTGGTCTGCAACCTCCACCTCCAGCAACTTTTGATAGAGCTGTGCTTTATCAAAGCCAGCTAGCTAGGCCAGGTAGCTCGCTGGCACTGCGCAAGCTGCATGCATGGTGAGCTGTCCACCAGAATTCACCTCCAGGTTTCGTTTCGGGTTAGATTGCTTGGTCAACTTGTAGACGCAAGCGACAAGCAATGCCGTTTCTGGTGAAGGCGTTTCCAAAAGAACAGTCAGGCCTGAATCGAAATTTCATGGAGAGGTCCGAGAGGACACCGGTTTATGTCAGTCGTTTCTAAGAAACGGCGTGCTTCCTTCCCACTAACCCACTATGCTCTTAACCCTAGGAATACCCGGCATGCACCTGCCTGTGTCAGTGACTCTTCGGAGTCATGTGCATGAGTCAGTGCATGTGAGGTCTGCTTTTCAAAGAACAGGAAGGGGGAATAAGGGAATACGGGGGAAGGGCGCTGTGCAGTCTGCACCAGCACCAGCACCAGTGGCAGCAGTGGCACCAGACAACTCCGCAGGAGGCAGTTTCAGGTGGATCTGCAACGAGCTGCATTTGGGCGCATTGTGGTGCTTTGGGTTCGCTGACACAAGCCCACAAAATCAGTCACACCGAGTGTTTTCCAGCCTGCAGATTTGTATTTTCAAGGTCGATTGCAAAGGGTTTTACGAACTTACCACCTTCGTCCTGAGTGCTCTGGGCCCTTAGGAGCAAAAACCCCTGGAGCTGGCATCCATCTTGCAGCCCATTGAGCTGGCAAAAAATATTCTGGAAGCACTGACGGTTAGACGATGTCTTACAATCCCAGTCACTTGATGCCCACAGGTAAGGTAAAACCAAATGCGCCAGTTGCGGTTCCAGTTACTTAGGTACTTTTTGGCAGGCAAGAACTAAGAGCATCAGCTTTGATCATATTAGGATAGTAAAATCACATTTGTTTCTACTGATTGCAGATTCCCGCCAGCTCCGCTGTCTGAGAGTTTGCTCAACGAGCCCTGTGCCATGATCAGGTGCCTTTTAAATTCCCAAGCGGATGTTCATGTTCCTATGACAGATTGCCTTGCTTGATCCAGACTGAAAGAGGAAATCGTACATGCCTGCTATCGGCTCCTCTTATGGTGCACCGTTCTTGTGACACGCAGAGTTGGTAGACCGATGCATCGGGTCAAAGATTTGGGTCATCATGAAGGGCGACAAGGAGTTGGTGGGGACCCTTCGGGGCTTTGACATGTATGTCAACATGGTCTTAGAAGACGTCACAGAGTAGTAAGTCCTCTCCCAGCTTTCCTGTTGAATTTGAGTCATTGTACTAGTCCAATCAATTTTAGGCGCTTTCAAGTGTGACATATGTGAGCGTTTAATCACCCGGCTCTGGCACATCATTGGCAGCTCGTTTGCACCTGAACAGATACAGATAGTTTGTTCCACTTTTTGTTGTTGAAAGGTGGCCATGAATTCCACACTGGAAAGACATATCTGCCTGGCCTGTGCCTCCTCACTGTTTTGTGAACCTTCTTGCCTGTTTACTTCTGCAGTGAGATCACCGCAGAGGGGAGGCGAGTCACAAAGCTGGATCAAATTCTGTTGAATGGAAACAACATTGCAATGGTAAGTCATCCAATCTCGCGCTGATTGGCGGTGAATTACCTGCACTTGTAGCCTCAGATCTGTTGGACTCCTGATCCAATTGGTTCCTGTCTCTCAGCTCGACGTTCTGATTTCGATCCAACTGCTGTATGTTTTGCGCGACAACCAGATTGTTGTCCTTGAGGCCAAAGAGGTTTCGAACAAACAGTTGACTGTCTTTGCAGCTTGTTCCGGGAGGGAGCCCTGAGTGAAAGAACATTGACAAAGGACGGTGATTGATGCTCCAAACCAAAGGACGTGAGCCGACCTTAGCCTGTGCCCATGAATCGTATTTCTGGGGTCATTGATACTACCGGAGTACTTTGCAAGTTACGAGGGGTTCAAAAGGGAAATCTTAGCAGTGTGGCCAGCACGTCCCTTACGTATCGGGGAGAAACATCCCTTTCAAGTAAGGGACCCCACAGCCCTGCTTGGAGGCCAGGTTGCTCTTGGGATGGTCCACTTCTCCAAGTGCATCGAAGCAGACTTTCTCAGTAAAGTTCTCAGAAGTTCTCCGTCGTTCCGATTATACACGGAGCCAGAAGCCATTTTCGTCATGGACTCGGATGTCCATGTTGGGCATTGAATGAGAGGTTGCCATGTTGCGAAGCTTCACTGGGTATTATAGCGTGATTCCTGCAACCTTGACCACAATTCGTTCAAAATACTGGCTTCAATATGCGTGTGACAGACACATCATTAGTTGCTGCAAATCGCATAAATAATACTAGCTGGACATGTATGCACTCCTTAGCGCAGGTCTGTTTAATCATGCCGAGCCGCGATCCAATTGTCACATCTACGGCCCCATCAACAGGCCGATATTGTCCGGTCCGGCGATCCTGGTTATAAACAATCGTCTGGGTCGATCTGCCAGACAACAAGTACTGAAATGATGTTACTTTGACTGCAAATTAGGGGCATGTGAACATGTGGATAAAGACACTGAGACGACCGCGCACGTCACGATCTTCCATGCATTCTGTAGATTTGGCCGTCAATTTGCATGCCATGATGCGACTGCATGGCTGGATTGAAGTGAGTTTAGTTCCAGGATCATGAAACAGACAGTAATACGATGGCAATACTGCGGAGCCCATTGGCACCTGGCATGCAGTGGTGAACGTTGTATTCACATATGATTGGCAAATAATGCAGAGATGGCAGGGTGGCACTGGGACGGTCGCGACTCTGACGGTCCCTCATATCCGACCCAGCATTGCCGCACAAATCAAAAAGCTGAATTATCCGGAAACATGAACTGCCAGCGATCCACTGACCGAGCTTAGGGCCGAGCAAGCAAGGCAAGTCCGTTACAATTGTACTGTACACTTTTTTGACTAGATCGAAGCGCTTCATTATTTGTTTGGCAAGCTTGACGGCCTTGGGCCTAAAGTCGATCAGGTGGATTGATTATCTTCTGCGGGTATCATAATTCTAGATAGTCGTCAAAGAACCGAGTCCCGCGAGCAATCAGGCGGCTAGCCCAACAAACTCATAATCAATCTGCTATGAGCCTATCACCCTCCGAACGACACACTTTCAAATGCCCTGATCTTCCGTGGTATCTACATCAAGAGCAGCTTTACTAGCTTCCATCTACACCTGAGAAAAGAAAAGAAGGCCCCTCCCTACGAAATGCTTCCCAGCCAGCTACGCGCGCTTGCTTAAGTCAGTGTCTAGTTCATACTCCAAAAGATCACATGTAATGGTTATTTGATCTTGGTAGACGACCTTCCTAGTTATCTTCCACGTATCTAGCCATGCCCCGCAAATGTTCCGCCCCTCTTCCCAACAGAGTGTTGACTAAGAACGGCGGAAGCAGGCCCCTCGGGTCCATGTGGACCGTAGAAACGAATCTCGTACTCTTTCCATCTTCGGACGGCTCGATCTGAGTGATGCTGATTGCCATCTCGGCGCGCACGACCTTCGACGGAGCAGGGGGGTATGCAGGGTGTGCGATTGACATGGCTGCAAGCAAGACAAGGATTGAGGAGTTAGGGAGTCCTTCCTTTGCATAAACGTTGATGGCTGAACACAATGAGTCCTGGAACTTACGATGCAAAGGAAATTAAAGCAAAGTTCCTTAGAGGGAGAGGGGATGCACAAGCAACCACAGACACCATTGCAAAAAGCCTGCTGATTGACGCTTCAGCCGTTGATACAAGTTGCTGGGTTACCGACAGCCGGCTGAGCTGCCAGCACATCACGTGAGCTCGCTTGCTTCCTACCTTTCAAAAGCAAGGGCATGCTGACGGACATCAGGGAGGGCACAAGAATTGCACACGACGGAGAGCGCATAATCTTGAGATGGCCGGAACGCTGTTACAGCAGTCTAGCTCACACGGCCGCTCTGAGAGTGCATTAGGGCGTGAGCGGTTAGCCACCAGGACCGGACTTGTAAGCCTAGGCCCCTGCTCTTGAGCTTGAAAGCACAGATCGGATCCATCGATCTGTTGAATTGACAAGATAGACAACGGACACAGTCTGGCCGCTTGGCCCCAGCCAATTTCCAAATTGTCCCATCCGCCTAACAAGAGCCAAGCAGTTACTCACCTGCCGTTGTGAAGTGCCCGGCCCTGTGCTCTGTTGCCCCTGTCTCGAGGTTCAGCACACCCTCCCACCGCATCGTTAGGAACACAGTATCCCGAGGATCAATCACTGGCAGCTCCGACTTGGCTGTTAGCACGCGCGCGTTCCCGTCTATCTCCTCGAGGATCCTAGACTTGACGTGCGGATTCCACTTTTGCCACAGGTTCATGTCGGCGTACACGGTCTGTACCTTGGAGGGGGGTGCCTTCACAGTGGTCTGCGAAAGGGAGGAGCATCAAACTTGTTCAAGACTACAATAGTACGCAGGAACCGCTTAGCTTCATAATGGCCGGCAAAAACATCCCTAGGTTACGGGGTTGGAAAGCAAGGATGTCAGGAATTTGAATAGGAACAACGTTTTCGAGACCTATTGTTGAGAAGAACGATGTAGGGAGGCCCCCACACAATCCATGCTGTCAGCGAGTGAACTTTGGCCACGACTTACCTGATTCCGGACGCAAACGAAGGGGCTGTTGGGAACAGGCTGTACGGAGGTGACCACTCCGCCAGCGTTCTGCGTCTGGTGCCAAGTTGGTTCGGGAAGCCTCAAATATTCGAGTGTCCTCTTCAGAAGCTGCAAGGATAGAAGAACATCCTTCAGATCACGGGTCCGGTATAAGTCAGACGCCGGATACATCTATTCTGGCACCCGAAACATTTAGTCGTCGACCAGTACATCCTTACACACAAACTCAAGGGGAATCAGCAGACCCACAGCAGTCTAACAGCCCTTGAATCTAAAGATGGCTTTTGATTTGCGCCCCTGGCAAACTCCTCCATTTAACATAGTCTCCAACTTTCCTGCCTTGTGCCCCCACAAGGGCCTGCTGATCATAAAGTTTCCGGGTTGTTGGCGACAGAATCCCAACCACAACCTTACTGCCCTTGTTTGCAATATCTCTGTCTCACCTCAGCTCGCAGGGAAGGATAATCTGGTGGCTTGACCTCGCCACTCTGCTTCTTCGCTTCATACTGTAGCGTAAGAACGTAAGTGTGACAGGCGGAGCAGACTCGCTGGGGTCCATTGTAGTTGAAGGTGGGGGGTAACGTGATGCGGCTGTCACTGCACTGCTGACACACCAGCTTCCCACACCCCCGACTGCAGCAGTGCATAAACGCATCAGCTGCTATTCATATGAGATTGCTCCTCTTGGGTGCGTTTGAAATAGAAAGAGCGATTGCAGACGCACTCAATCTGACTCCGAAGTCTGAGCGAGGTGCAAGCAGAGTGAAGCGAAGCGAACGGGATCATCTAAAAGCCGTGCAATGAATTACCCATGCCTCTGAGAGGAGAGTCAGGGATATGCGCTGAGCAAAGGACGCGCTTCAATCAGCACCAGACCTGTCACTGAATCATCAAATGCACTACGATGCTTACCAGTGATGCCGCCGGTGAAAGACAGTGAACTCCCGGTTGCACTTTGTGCACGATTTTGAATCTGAATTTGCCTGCACACGGAGTGGTAAAAGGCATTTCACTTCTAGATCTGATGTTGAGTATCAGTGGACCGCCCTCATTAGCCAGATATACGGCAAAGCCGAGTACAAACTGGCTGATTCTTCTTTGCCAGAAGCTGGTCAAAGCACCGAGGAAAAAAGTTCTGAGTCGGGTACCTTGCACGCTACTACTACAACTGCCGGTATGACAAAGTAGCCTGATGTACTTTGTCAGAATTTGCATGCATGCGTCCTATGATGAGGCGAGGGCACTCTGCATGTGGATCTGGAAAGGTGGCCTTGCTCACCTGCCACACCGGCCTGTCCACCGCATCCTCATGAGTGGGGCCCGTCATCGTGCCCAGCCCCTGTGACTCAAGAGAGAACCTTACTTCCAAAGAGGGTAACCTTGGGTTAAACAGATCTACCCGGCACCCTGCTGATCAGACTGCGTCCGGCTGTGGTGTTCCAAAAAAATTGACAGACTTCCATTATTAAAGGTTTCACCAAGTCGAGCAGACTTGATGTCTGAACGTGAGCGCCTTCCTCTTCCTTTGGACACCCTTCACAGTTCACTTGCTTCAGGCTACGGTACCGGTATACCGTAGTA